TTTTTTTTTTTTTTTTTTTTTTGAAAGTTCTTGAATATGGATATGATGATGTATATTTAAAAGGATTGTAAGTAATAAAAAAGACTTACATTATCTTTCTAAAAATATATTTATTATTCTAAAAAAAAAAAAAAAAAAAGAATAAATCTATATATAGGTTTATTCAAATTTCATACAATGATTTAAAAATAATTGATAATTTGAACTTGATTAAACTTTTTCTATTTTTTTTTTTTAATTTTAGAAAAATTAAAAATCAAAGTATAGGACTAGCTATTGAAGGTAAGATAAAATATATATGCATATAATAAATAAAACATAAATTACATATTCATTTTTTAAAAAAAAAAAAAAAAAAAAAAAAAAAAAAGTATAAAATTAATTTTTATATAGAATCATTACACCCGTTTTCTGATTTACCATTTGACGGAATTGTTGGATTAGGATTTCCTGATCGTTTGTTTTTATTTTTTTGTTTTATTTTCTTAATTTTTAATATTCTTATTTTTTTATCATAATTTTTTTTTTTCTTTTTTATGAAGGCGATTTTATTTTTCAAAATAATTATGTAACACCTTTAATAGAAACAATTAAAACACAAGTTAAAAAAGGAGACATTTAACAAAAAAAAATTTTTTTTTTTTTTTCTTATTATTCATCTTTTTTTTTTTTTTTTTTTTTATTAAAATACCAATTAGAATCTTCTAAAAAGAAATATTTTTTCATTTTATGTACCAGACAAATTAGAAAAGTAAAATAAATACATACAATATATATATATATATATTTATATATATATATATTTATATAAAGTAATTTTTAATTTTTTTTATTATTATAAAAACAGATTAGGTTCTATAACATTTGGGAAAGCTAATAATAAATATGTTCTTGAAGGAAAAAAAATTGAATGGTTTCCTGTTATATCTATTTGTAAAAAAAGAAAAAAAAAAAAAAAAAAATTATAATTTATCTTTCAATATTTTTTTTTTTTTTTTTAAGATTTTTGGGAAGTATATTTATTAGATATACAACTTTCTGATAAAAGTTTGTTGTCTCAAAAAAATAAAAAATTTAGAGCAGCAATTGATACAGGATCAAGTTTGGTAATAATTTTTTATTAAATAATTCATAAAAAAAAAAAAAAAAAAAAAAGAATATTCTTATTAAAATTATTTAATATATATATATATTTTTTTTTTATTTTTTTTAGATAACTGGACCATCCAGTTTTATCCAACCTTTAATTGAAAAATTAAATTTAGAAAATGATTGCTCAAATAAAAATAATTTACCAAATATTTCGTTTATTTTAAATAATATTGAAGGAAAGAAAGTGAAATTAGAATTTAAACCTGATGATTATATTATTGAAGATGTAGATAATGTATCAATATAAATATATATATACATTTATTTATATATTATATCTATATACATTTAATAATAATAATTTAAAATACAACATTTATAATATTTTTTCTATAATAATAAAATCATAATTCTTTTAATATATTTATTTCATTTTATCTTATACATTTTACTTTTTTTTTTTTTTTTTTTATAGAATAATAATTCTGTTCAATGTAAGCAATTCTTTTTTTTTTTTTTTTTTTTTTTTTTTTTGGAAATTTTTTTTTTTTTTTTTTTTTTTTTTTTTTTTTTTTTTTTTGGAAAATTTTTT